AATACAGCCTATAAAGCAAAGGGTGAGAAAAGTTGATTAATTCCAGATATGCAGTTCCTTTATACCTGTTCTGAGGCAAGCAATAGGAGGAGCTTCTGGAGGTTCTTAAGCAAGAGAGGGCAATCATTTTTAAGGAACTTAATGTATTCTATTTTAAATAGACAAGAGAAACTAGAATTAAAAATAAGGAGATCTAGGAAGTAAGGACCCAGTTCACCACACCAGACAGGGAAGGGGAATGGTGCACTGCGACAAATCAGAATGGGCAGGGACCCATTTACATGTGGAGCCCAGTACAGAAGGCAGCTTCGGAAGGGTCCTCAGTGGTGGAATCTCCTGCAGTTCACACTTTCCTGCAATCCCCTTTCTTTGAGTGTGGGATGGAGCAAGTAACCTACTTCTAACAAATAGGATATGACAAAAGTGATGGAATGTCACAGAGATTAGGTTACAAAAGACCATGGGTTTTGTCTTGCTCATGCTCTCTTTCTGGCTTTACTCATTTGTTTGCTCTGATGAAGTGAGTTGCCATATTTGAGCTGCCCTATGGAGAGGCCCCCACGGCAAGGAGCTTTGGGGACCCTCTGCTGACAGCCCGTGAGAACCCGAATCTTGCCAATAAGCAAGCCAGTAAACCTGGAAGCCAGTCGTCCTCCAGCCATACCTTGAGATGACCATTGTCCTGTCCAAGAAACTCGCAGCCTAAGCTGTGCCCAAGTACCTGACCTACAGAAAATGTGAGATAATAAATGTCCTATTTTAAGCTGCTAAATTTTGGAACAAGAGGTAACTAATACAGGGGGGAAGATACTTAACTGGCATGGAGATGGTGGGGACAAATGCTCTTTGAGATTAAAATCCCAGCCTCATGGTCCAAAGTTGTGCATACTCTTTTATCTAGGCTTTGTTGATTTTAGAAATTTTCATAAAAAAACCCCACCTCTCCACCACCCCCTTCTTCCACTGTTTCCTAGAGCTGATTAAAGAAACGTGACTTGATTTTCAATTTCAAGCAACTTAGGGGGGCATTCCAATAGAAAAACTGGCAGGAAATTAATGCGATACACAGGAGGGAAGGCAGATACTTCTAAATCTGATATTTAGGTCAAACACACCTTTCCTTTTGCCCTCTTTTGATTTTGCATTGGCAGTTTGTTTTTAGGAGCCTGGTAAGGGGAACTATTCTCTCAGTACAAATGCGTTAGTGGCACCAAAATACTTGAAAGATAGTTAATAAAAACAAAAAACTTGGCCGAGGATGTTTAAGAAACCGAATTATCGCTTCGTTTGTGCTTGAATTACAGTAGTCTCTAGCAAAACTAATATCATGTAAACTATGGAATAAACTTCCATGTTAAACCTTTTATATGTGTTTCTTTATATGAAATGTGATTACCTGTAATTAAATTCTTTTCACTGGTCTTCTTGCGAGAAAAACAAATTCTAAAACTGCCTTACCACATAGCTTGCAGGACTTAAGGACATACAATGTCCAAAGAAGTAACCACACTCCATTTCTATTAGCTAAGGCTGTTTCGTTCTTCCCTCCATAATGACATCTTCCACAGTAGTGGGAAACAGAGACTCTGTACTTGAGCTTGACACCTTGGTGAGAACTTGTGGTCATCATAGCGGTGAGAGACGGCCACCTGCAAATCAGTCCTAGGTGAGCTGTTTTGAGTCAGTTCTCCTGCTCATGGACACTTTTCATTCTAAAAAAAAATGAGCTCTGCATTTAGTACCAGATTGAGGCATATTTTCTTTCTGCTTGAGTTTGCGTCGCCCATCTGTGAGTGAAGGGGAAGACAGCATACAGTGTGGGTTTGTCCATGAGTGTGACCTTTCTAAACTGCTAATGGGCTCTCTCTCTCACCTGCAGGTGCATCAGCACCTCCTCCATTGCAGCTGGGTAATAGATGAACATTCCTTTCTGCAAATTCCATGAGCATTGAGGCTTATCTCCATTTCATAAAGGAAATATGTTATCTGGGTAATAGAGAAAGTAAGTCCATCTTCCCTTCAAACATCTAACTATTTCAGGGAAACCATACCTGCTACTCTAACTGCAGAAATACTGTGAACTCTAAGTCCTGTATTCCTAATCAAATGGGTTATAGCAACTTCTACCCAAACTATGTTTTGCTGATTGGTAGCTGGATATATATTCACATATAGGTGCAAAGGGATGCTTTTCTCAACTATATGTCTTACAATCTGCGAAGTGATGGGCTGTATGGTAATTAACGGTCAGTTGTGGGTCATGCCATGAGACACACCTAATGGTGAGGCAGGAAGAAGACAAAAAGCTGAGAGCACAGGCTCAAGTGTGGTACGCAGGAGTGGACACACAGAGTCCTGGAACCATAAGGCACATTGAATAATAAGGTAGGGAGGGCTAGCCATCCACCAAAAATAGGTACCCCTGCTCCAAAGTGGAGGCAGCCAAGGGATGCACTTGCCAGCCACCTTGCATCAAGGTATGATTGATGTGAGCAGAAGTGATGTGTGTCCTTTCTAAGCTGGGACTGTTAAGACGACAGTGTTAGGGGCGCCTGGGTGGCTCTGTCGGTTAAGCGGCTGCCTTCGGCTCAGGTCATGATCCCAGGGTCCTGGGATCGAGCCGCGCATCGGGCTCCTTGCTCGGCGGGAAGCCTGCTTCTCCCTCTCCCACTCCCCATGCTTGTGTTCCCTCTCTCGCTATGTCTCTCTCTGTCAAATAAATAAATAAAATCTTTAAAAAAAAAAAAAAAGACGACAGTGTTAGGATGCCTGGGTGGCTCAGTTGGTTAAGCGTCTGCCTTTGGCTCAGGTCATGATCCCAGGGTCCTGGGACTGAGTCCCGTACCAGGCTCCCTGCTCAGTGGGGAGTCTGCTTCTCCCTCTCCCTCTGCCTGCTGCTCCCCCTGCTTGTGCTCTTTCTCTCTCTCTGACAAAAAAAAAACAAATAAATAAAATCTTAAAAAAAAAAAAAAAAAGACGACAGTGCTTCCATCAGCTTGGGTCCCTGAATGACTGCATGGAAATGGCCACTAAGAAAGCTGAGGACGATAGAAGTTAAGTGCTGTGTCCAAGATCACAGCCAGTTAGTGGCAGAGTGGAGACTCAAACTCATTTCTTCTGATTTTCAAGGTAAGAGCTCTTTCTGACAATGAAAAAGGAACTTGCCCCAAGCTACTGTGGTCATAGTGATTGAAAGTATGGACTCTGGGATCCAGGCAGCCAGAGTTCAAATCCTGCCTCTACCTCTACTAATTATGTGACTTGGACAAGTTATTTAACCTTATAGTGTAAAAATAGGGTTAATAATAGTGCCTGCTCATGGTGTTGTTTTGAGGATTAAATAAATTAACATTCTTCACTTGCTTAGAAAAGTGCTTGGCTCATAGTAAGTGCTATGTAAGCGTTTGACAAAAACAGGTAGATAAAATCAGGTGAGATCTATATAACTACCAGCGTACACCATTCCACATGTGAACACTAAGGGAGCGATGCCTTAAGCTATGGCTGCCAATGCCACCTTGTGAGACCTAAGTAACTCCTATCCCTCATCTGATGCCATTACATCAAACTAATCAGAGAAACAAGAGCCCAGAGGCCACCATTTAGAAAAGGTGTCACCTCCAGTCAAGAGAATTTCAAAACCATTCCCATCATGGTTACTCTAGCTGCCATTGAGAGATCTTCCATGACCATAAGCTCTCCATCCCACACTGCTTTGAACATCTCTTAATTGGACTCAAGCTTCACCCCCCCCAAACCCTCCTTCTAGACTTTTATTCCATGATAAGCCATCTCCTCTCATTTTCAACTTCATCTCTGACTATTCCTTCAACCTCCTCCTAGGTCTTCCTGGTCCCCATAGCTTCTTCCTGACCATTTCTTCCCCTTCTTCCTGAAAAACAAAACCAAAAATGCATAAGCATTTCAGGATGATGGCCATTCCAATTGCTATGTGGACCCTCTCATCATTCTTCTTCATTCTTTGAAAATATAACCTTCTGGCTCAGTCTTCTTCACCAATCTCATCTGTTATCCTGTTTGGTAATTTCAACATCTATGTAGATGGCCCTCTCAGCTCCTTGACTTCTCACCACCAACAACCTTTTCCTCCACTGCATCTCAGCTACCCTCTGCCTAGACCTTCTGTCAGAACATCTACACAAAGATACTTCCCGTCCTGTTAGCTCATTTCCCTAGATTTCAACTCACTGAGATCTCTGGTCTGCTACCATTTTCTTGCCACCCTGCAGCTTTCTCTTTTACTTTCCTTCTTATTTAGCACATATTCCTTTATATAGCCATTTCTTTGTAACTCCCCTCAACTCTCCTTGCCTCCTTCTCTCCCTATGATCTATTTCACTGGCAAAACTTCAGTTCTGGTTGAACCCCATGATCCAACTTCTCTATGTTAGTAGCCAAGCAGATGGACGACAGGAAAAATAAAATAGCCCAACTTGAAAACCTGCTGTTTTCCATGTTCTCAAAGCTCAAATGAGTACTCAGCACTGTTCCAGAATCAATGGCCCTTCACTCACAATCTCGCCTTCGCCGGTATCCAAGATAACTATTTCATATCTACTCCCTCCAAATCCCCTACTCTTCCTCACTGTCCTCACTGCATATTTCATTGAAGGAACAGGAGCCATCCATGCTTAATTCATCCATGAGAGTTGTATGGTTGACTTTTGTATTCTCACACTAGAGCTACACTCCCATCTGCATAGCTCCCCCTTCTTCTCAACTATTGCATGGAACGGTCACCCTGCTTCTATCAAAGGCCAATTTCCACACATGCGTTCTTCTTGTTTTCTTGATCAATTTACCCCTCAGCCCTCCCCTCTCAATCTGTCATCATTAATTTTCTCCTTTCTATTGGCTCAGTCTCAGCATCAGTGACACCCTGGTACCTCTGATCTCAAAACAAATGAACCAAATATCTGCCCTCAACCCCAAGTCACATGTTTCCCCTTCATAGCAAAGCTTCCCTAAGACCTACTTACAGATTCTGTTTCTTCTTCTTCACCTTCCATTTGCTACCTCACCCAGAAGAGGCTGGCATCTCTTCCCATGATGCCTCTTATACTGCTCTCATCAAGGCTTTCAGCAATGGCCATGCTGCTCAGTTGAATGGACACTTCTCTGTCTTTGTCTTCTTTGCTCTCACAGGAGCATTCAAAAGGACTCTTTCCTTGAGGTAGTCTCCTCCCTTGGTGTCCATGACATAACTCTTGGTTCTCCTCTTACCACTTTAGTCATGACATCTCAGTCTCAGTTCCCAGTCCATTTGACCACTTCCCTGCTCATCATCTTCACTTGGATGTCCCACAGGTATCTCAAATTCCATATGTCCAATATAGATCCACTGATATATATGCCCCATTCCCCATAAAACTGGAAGTTATCTCTGACTTGTCAGTTTTCAACTCTGAAATACGATCCATCAGCACATCCTATTGGCTCTGTGTCAGAATGGTGTCTTGCATCCATCCACTCCTCCCCATTCTGGTCCATGTCCCTTTTTTTCTTGCTGGATTATTTTATTACAGGACCTCCTAAGGTGTTTGCACCCATCCCACCCATTCTCCACAAACGAGACAGAGCCATCATCCAAAATCTCTTTAATGGTTCCTTCCTTGCTGTTCTCAGAAGAACAGATACATCCTTTAGCATGACCTAGAAGCCTCCACCCTCTTCTGCAAGTTCTCAAACCACTTTCTCCCTTATACTTACTCCTTTTCTCCAGTCTCTTTTCTATACTTTAGTCAAGCCAAAGTTTCCCACCTCAAGGCTTTGGTGCTTGTGATTACATTTGCCTGCACTGCTCTCCAACTAGGTCTTTGCAAAGATGGCCCTGTCTTATTCTTCAGCTCCAGACTTCAGTGCCACTTTTCCACAAAGTCCTTCCCTGGCCACACTCTTTTAGTAGGTATCCCCAGGTATTCCCTATCTTTGCTCCCTATTCATGTCCTGCTAAGCACCTATTATAATCCATAATAATTACTTTACTTATGAATTAATTATTTGCAATCTCCCCTTCCAGAGCATAAGCTTGTACTCTATTGAATCTCCAGTGTCTAGCAGAGTGCCTGCACCTAATAGGCAATATGTAAGTGCTAAGTGAATGAATGGAATCATGAAATGTTTACTATATAGTCGGGCCATGCTCTATACTTATATGTATACCATGTTTTTTACTTGACTGCAACCTGGTCTCTGAAATAAAACAGCCACAATTCATGTTCATTTAATTTCCTTTCAGTTCTCCTAACAACCTAATAGCAACTGTACTATCAGAGCCTGGGCATTTCAGATGTGCATTTGCTCCAATTCTCTTCAGCACAACAAAACCATGTTAAAGATGTCCAGAAATGGGAGTTTGTGTGGTTTCATGAAAGAGGACTGGCTTGGGAGTCATTCAACCTGGAATGAGTAGTATGGCCTTGAGGTAGTTCTTTCATTTCTCTGGGTTTTGGATTCCTCATGCAAGAAATGGGAAGTTGGGACTCTATTTTCCAGGTATCTTGCCAACAAGAAAATTCTAGGGTTTGGTGAGTGCCTGTGACCTGCCTTCTAAGTAGAGTGCCTCATCTTGGTTGGGGAGTGTGTGTGTGTGTGTGTGTGTGTGTGTGGCACAGAGCTTGGATGAAGCCCTGGTTCAACCTGGTAAGCAGGGCAGGGACCCTGACTACACCGTGTGCATGCACAAGCACCTGTTATCTACACAAAAGCACTTCACTTAGATTGTTAGGACCAAGACACAGAACATTCTAGGGGCATAGCCAGAGCAATTCTCCTGACAGCATCCACCTTTCCTTGAATCTCAAGGGGGAGCCCACAGATGGCTCCCTGATGTTGTTCCAGGCTGAACACTTGGGATTTTGCGGGTGCTGAGTTTTTCTTTTTAAAGGGAGTCTATGTGGCAAACAGACAGCCCCTGCCACTTGGGCGAGCTCCATCTCACTGGCAACTTTCCACGGCACTTCCATCACATCCTAAGTGGCATGAAGAACCCCAACCCCAAGAATAGTAGACACATAAAAGAGACTGCAAAATAAGTAAATTGAGTTAATGGTTTGAGCAATCTTGGAGCAACAAGCATTCAGAGGCCCAGAGAAAAGAAGTAGGATCCTTAATTAGAGGGTAGCTCTTTAAAGCTGTGATTCTGTCTCTTAGTTTTCCCCTGTGTTCACATCCCTGTCCTTCGTTCACATTAGGAAGGTGGGAACGGTGTTCTTCTTGGCTCATGGCACACGGTTCTTTGCTTATTTTGGGCCATATCATTCTGTACTTGAGTTCTCTGCGTTTGGTCAGGCCCATTTCCCTTCTCTTCTTCCCTCCTTTTCCCATTTATGAGCACATTTAGGGCCAAGGATATTGACGTTCATTTTTGGGTTATCCTGGAGCTTAGCATGGGGCCGGGCCTTGGATAAAAAGAGACGAATCATGAGAGACTGTGGACTCTGAGAAACAAACTGAAGGTTCTAGAGGGGAGGGGGTGGGGGATGGGTTAGCACGGTGATGGGTATTAAGGAGGGCACGTACTGCATGGAGCACTGGGTGTTATATGCAAACAATGAATCATGGAACACTTCATCTAAAACTAATGATGTAATGTATGGTGATTAACATAACATAAAAAAAAAAAAGCAATGAAAGAGCCACGATGGGCCAGGGGCGCCTCACTGGACCGTATTTCAGGGCGACGAGGCGAGAACTTGGAACAGAAGGCTGTCTGCTGCAGGTGCCTTCTGAAGAGCCCGACTCTCATTACTTCCACCTGCTACTCAACAGTTAGAGTCACTCCCCTTGGGGATTCCATGGCCTTTCCAAATATTTCCAGTTTCTTCCCTCCAATGCTTATTTCTGTTTTAGGTGAGATTTATCTTATTTCATAGGTGTCTTATGAATTGTTTTGCCTCTGTCAAAATCTCACCAGGAAACCTGCAGCTGTTTCACATGGTAGGTGTTTCTTCCTGAAGGTGCCAGTGAGGGGAGCAGAAAGGAAAGGATCTACTCAGGAGTTAGCCTTTTTCCAGCCAAGTGTGGCATGCCGAACCTTTTCAAATTTCAAAAGTAATGGATTAAATAGAAATGGAAATCTTGAGCCAGGGGGACTTGGCCACTCTTGAAAATATTTTATCCCCTGTGGACTGCTTCACTGCTGTAATAAGTGATTGCAGATTGAAAGGATTGTTCTGGATTGTTTGGTTTTGAGTGGGCTGGCAATTGGGATTGCAGAAGCCTCTTCCTCTGCCACCTGAGTTAGACCTCAAGTTACACTGAAGACATCCTGTATGTTGTGATTTTACTTGTGTACTGGAGAACTGTTTTCCCCTTACAGAGGTAATAAGGTTCTTCATTTTCTCAGAGTCATAAGAACAACTCTGTTCTTTTCTCACTCAGTTCTAGTATCTGTAAATGCTAATAACTCCCTGAGATTTCCACTCTTAGGGCTGTGTGAAGGAATGCTGTCCACGTGGGTCCTGAAGGACTGCAGAGAACTGATCCAGGCTTAGTTTGGTCTCAGTACTTAAAAAAAAAGTGTACTCCACAAAGGGCAACTCCAAATAAGTTAATGAGTAATGGGATATGGACTTTGCCATTTTGCCTGATGTCGGTGAGGTGGCCCTCTGGTTTGAAGTTGATCGCCCCTCACTAAGGACTTTCCCAAGACTTCGCAGAGCCTAGGGAAAGGGCTGGGGCATAAAAATATAACTCAATTAGTCAAAAAAAGTCACCATGTTGAATAGAAGGCTGTCAGACCAATGGCTAGACTTTTAGGAGCGTTTGGGCACACGTAACCACAGTGATGGAATGCTCATCTCACAGCGCTCTCAAAGGTGTTTTTTTTTAAAAAAATTTAAGTTATTGCTTCTCTTTATTGTACACAATGTCCTATAAAGAAGATATATGTCCACAATTGAGCTTTGAAAGAGGACCACGGGGCCAGTTCCATTTAAAGGGAATGAAGTCAAGCAGTAAATTTGCTGGTCATTCTTTTCATATGGACTGTATCTTAGTCAGCAGTTGGTCTTTGATGTCGTAACAATAGCATGGGGCCATGGAGGCAGCAGACGATCCCCATAACACCGAAACTCGTCCACACTCATTAAAATGTGGAGACCAGTCTGCAGGGTACCGCCCATCAGGGAGCAAAGGGAGTGGGCTCTGGGGCTTGTGGGCTGCCCTTCCCAGGGAAAAATGGCCATCTCTTTGGTACTGTCCACCCCGCCTGTTGCATGCCTTACTGTATTTTTCATTGAAGTCTTGACACACATATAGAATGCACATACATATAACTATACAGCTCCGTGAGATTCCACGAACTGAATGCATATGTGCAGCCAACACTCACATCAAGAAACAGAACATTACCAGTACCCCCGACAGCCCCCTGGTGCTCCCTTCTAGTCACTTCCTTGACCAGGGTAACCCGTGTCCTCTCTTCTCAGAGCATTCATTTGTTCTTCCTGGTTGTTTTACATAAACAGTATCAGCCAGCAAGTACTCCTCTGTGCCTGGCTTCTTTCAGTCAGCATTACATTTGTGAAGTTGTATGGGTTGTGAGTAGTTGTCATTTGTTCGCTCTCAGTATGTGCACTTACTGATGACCTGTTCTACTGTTGATGGGCATTTCGCTGGTTCCACTTTGGGGCTATTTAAATAGTGCTGCTCCAGGGGTGCCTGTGGCTCAGTCGGTTAAGTGTCTGTCTTCAGCTCATGTCATGATCCCAGGGTCCTGGGATCGAGCCCCACATCAGGCTCCCTGCTCAGCAGGAGTCTGCTTCTCCCTATGTCCCTCACCCCACTAGCGCTCTCTCTCTCTCTCAAATAAATAAATAAATCTTAAAAAAAAATAAGTAGTGCTGCTCTGAGCATTCTTTCTCAGGTCTTTGAGTGCACAGATGAATACAGTTCTGTGGTGTATATATCCAGGGTAGGACAGTTGCGCCGAGGGGTACATATACATTATTTCAGTAGTTTGGAAAACCAATTTTCCGAAGTGTTTATATCAGTTCACATTCCCTATAGGTGCTCTATATTCTCGCCAACACTTGGTGTCTTCAGTTTTTTTGTTTTTGTTTTCCTTTTTGCCTTTCTGTCGGGATAGTATAGTGATTTCATATTTTCAGTGGTCATGTATTTTTTACAATTATTTTGTCCTTTCTATTTTAGCTATATACCCAGTCGATGCTCAATTCTGTGACAATCAACAAATTAATGAGCTATTAAGATAGTTGAAATGAGACTTGCCCAACTCAACATTTGGGGTGCAAAGGGAGAACAAAGAGGGCGCTGCAGAACATACCAGAAGTATGAGACACAGCCTACCAAAACCAAAACAAAACAGAGGATAAAATACACTGGGGATTCAGGGCAGTAAGGGACTTGGGAAGAATAACCAAAAAAGACCTGGAACCAGAGTGGCCCACAAGCTGATTAGATATTAGCAATGTAATGCCATAGCTAAAAAAGGGAATGTGATACTACTCTCAACTATGGGAAACATTTTCAAAACTGACCACTTGTTCTTCAGAAGACCTTGAAGAAATGGACTTTGTGACACACTGAAAAAGGGGAAAATTGAATTAGTCGCAATGAAGAAATTCTTCTGGCCAGCAACAATCACTAAAAAGCAAAATATATAGCTCACCGAGCCTGGGGAACTCCTGTCCCCCAGGCATGTCATGTTTCTCTTGTTTTGTCGGGGAAAGGAAGGTAGGAAAGGGTGTCCCTTCGTCAGGGAAGTGGTTGCAGGCTTAAATGGTTAAGGCTCTGTGAGTGATGAAGAACATATTTGCGGGCACAGTTCCATCCCTACCATGAAGCACACGATGTTTAAGCAGTGGGACTGCACAAGGGAGGGCATTCAGAGGGAAGGCAGAAAGAGATGGACATGCATTTCTTTTTTTTTTTTTTTTTTTAAGATTTTACTTGTTTATTTGACAGAGGACAGACAGCAAGAGAGGGAACACAAGCAGCGGGAGTGGGAGAGGGAGAAGCAGGCTTCCCGCCGAGCAGGGAGCCCGATTTGGGGCTCGATCCCAGGACCCTGGGTTCATGACCTGAGCCGGAGGTTGACGCTTAACGACTGAGCTACCCAGGCACCCCCGGACGTGCATCTCTTGACTTAGAAACGACCTTTGGTGGGTGGAATCCTGTGCTGACAGAAATCCACAGCCTTTTCTAGTTCTAATTTCTCAGAGGCAGGGTCCTTCGGGCCCCACCCTTCCCCTCGGCCTGATGCTGGCCCAGAGCCAGGCTGAGTGCTCCACAGACACACAGCCCTAGGTGATGGCTGGGTTCCACTGGAAATGCTCATCACATCCATCCGGCATCTGCTTTGGGATGCGGCCGCGTGGTGGGTCGGGTGGGGAGGGGGCCTCCGCTGAACCAGGAGGCCAGCTGCTTTCGAGTCTCTTCTCTCAAGCTGTTCTTGTTCTTTCCTTTCCTTCTCCCACATGGCAGAAGAAGACAAGAATAGCCTTTTCAGAAGCATCATTGATTGGCATGAGGCAGAATGTGTCAGCCACATGGAGCCAGCCTGGACTGCATCAGTTCTGTCATATCTTGCCCTCCACAGGAGGTGCTCTGAACAATCAGATGTTAAACCTTGATTTCCTGACATTGCTTTTCCTCAGTTTCTTCAGCTGCAAAATAGAAATAGTCCCTGTTGGGCTATTTTGCGAATTAAAAGGTGTAAAGACATATAGTCTTGATGCCAGGGCCTGGCACAGAGTAAATGCTTGCTGTTAGCTTTTGCATCATCATTATCAGTTTTGAGGACGAAGTTCAAAATTTAGAATTATCCCATGAGGATGTCTGTTCTCAGATAAAGCAAATGAAATGCAAAGAGTCGAAGTGACTTGCCCGGGGTCACACAGCTCTATCATACCAATACCCATGAGTTAAACCGTTCCGGGACATCTGAGGACAGTCCTAGCAACATGATAAGCTCCCAGTGATGTAGCTATTATTATTATTATCCCATTTTACTGAACAGGATACGGAAGCACAGTGAAGTGTGTGACTTCTGCCTAAGGGTGCGCCTGTTAGTGAGAAGCAGAAGTGAAGTTGGAACGAATCCAAAGCCCGGGTCTTTGGCCACTCTGTCGGGCCTGGCAATGAGTGTGTGCTGAAGGAATGGTGGGGCCCCGGCAGAGGGGGAAGAGTGTTTGTAGCCTCTGCCTTGCTGAGCGTTTTCCTTGTCATGACAGGAACACGTGGTAAGTAGCCTGCTGGTTGCAGGAACATGGGAGACGCCTGGATGACACCCAGACCCAACCCACAGCTTGGCTCTTAGCCTGCCTAGACCTACTAAACCCCAGACGACCTGCAGACCCATGAGCATGAGAATACATGCCTACTGTTACAGCCACTGAGTTTGGGGGTCCTCTGTCGTGCAGCATAACTGGGCAAGAGCTGAATAATCCCCGACTTGTATTGAATGTTTTCCGGGACTTGCAACTTACAAGATAAGCATCTTAAATGATGCTACTTAAACTGTGCTGTGCCTAGGATTAGCTTGGGGCCCTTATTAAAATGGAGGCCCTAACTCAGTTGTTCTGGGTGGGACCTGAGATTCTTATCTCCTTAGGAGATCCCAGGAGGTACTGCTGCTCTACTCAACACACTCTGGGTGCAAAGGTGGAGCAGTCATCCTGAGCCTCTCCTCTGTGTCTCGGAGCCACAACTGTGCCTGGTGAACATCAGGGTGGTAGATGGGTGAGGGAGGGACAGTTCCTGCCTTCCAGTGAGAACTCTGCATGGGTTTCTAATCCTGAGCACTCTCCCCTACGTCCAGCATAGCCAGGAGGTCAGCTCATGTTAACATTTCCTTCAGCCCACTTCATGGGCTAGGGATTAGAGTCACCTAATGAGATCTCCCCTTT